TACACATAGTTCCTTTTGTTAATTTGAAAAGAGCAAGAACAAAGATTCTAGTAGAATAGTATGAATCCAATTTATCTCGTTGGGTCTCGTCAGCTGCTTACAACCTGTGATATTTAAAATTATAAGACACTAAACAGTGTAATTACCAAATATCTCCCTGATACATGACAAGTTGATACCTTGAAATCCTTCAAGGTGATTAGTAAGCAGACAAACTCTAGTCTTCTGAAGTTTGCTGAAGCCGTTGTTATCAAGTGTCAAATATCTGACTTATGTGTTCAAAAGTAGATGGTTATTAATCTTTCATTGCCTTGATGACAGATGTTCTTTCACTGTATCTTCAAATGTTTTTGTTTTTCTTTAGACTCTTTCTTGCATTTATTACATCATCGAATTTTATTTCAAATATCTTCCAAATTAATAGTCTTATTTTATCAGTCAGTCAGCCAGTAACAACAAATAACTTTGTACGTACGTACGTCAGTTCGAGTTACCATACCACATTAGCACAGAGATGCAGTTGTCGATTCAAATCACATAGTGGTAGAGGTAGTAAAATTATAAGCAGTAATCGGAAAGATTGGGGTTTGAAGATGTTATTCAAAGGGTATAATCCAGTGAAAAAAATTTGGAAAGATAATTCAGAAGATTAGAATTCGGGAGAACATAAAGAGTGGAAACACCTGCTCCATTGCAAACGATTTTGAGCCATGTCATTCAAGGTCTTTAACAATCGGTTGCTATCGTCTCACGGATCCGAACTAGGCAGTCTGCACCTACCAACATGGCTCAGTCTACTTGTCAGTGACTTCATGAATTTATCAACTGAGCTCTACTCATTTTATTTCTATCAATGTTTACTCATTATGTAATCAGTTGTTTCTGTCCGTTCGAACTGTTGTCACAAACAATGTTGTAGAATGTTCTTTTACAAAAGGTATATATTTACAATATTCAGTCTATTAAATATATTTACACCCTTGCTATACTATACTAATATGTCTTCGTTATAACTCCCAACAGCCAAACCCTCTCATGTAAGTGGTTTAAACCCAATATGTAATTATGATGTTTAAATATCACAGGTTGTAAGCAGCTGACGAGAACCAACGAAATAAAAATGAATTAATGCTATTCTGCTAGAATGTCCGTTCTTTCCATTGAAAAGATTACTTAGTTTTTATTCCTAGTAAATTAAATCCTTGTCATAATTTGTAATACACAGAATTTAATTTGTAATTTGGTAATTTCATCTCCTTGGTTACTTACTTACTTACTTACTTACGCCTGTTACTCCCAATGGAGCATAGGCCGCCGACCAGCATTCTCCAACCCACTCTTTCCTGGGCCTTCTTTTCAAGTTCCATCCAATTCTTGTTCATTTTTCTCATATCTATCTCCATTTCTCGGCGTAATGTATTCTTTGGTCTTCCTCTCTTCCTTCGACCTTGAGGGTTCCATATGAGGGCTTGTCTTGTGACGCAGTTCGGTGCTTTCCTCAATGTGTGTCCTATCCACTTCCAGCGCTTCTTCCTGATTTCTTCCTCCACTGGGATCTGATTTGTTCTCTCCCACAGTAGGTTGTTGCTAATAGTGTCCGGCCAACGGATCCGAAGTATTTTGCGTAGACAACTGTTAATAAACACCTGTATCTTTTGGACGATGGATTTCGTAGTTCTCCAGGTTTCCGCGCCATACAGTAGAACTGTCTTGACATTTGTATTGAAAATTCTGACTTTGGTGTTGGTTGCTAATTGTTTTGAGTCCCAGATATTCTTCAGTTGTAGATATGCTGCTCTTGCTTTGCCAATCCGTGCCTTCACATCTGCATCAGATCCACCGTGTTCATCGATGATACTGCCCAAATATGTAAAGGTTTTTACATCTTCCAAAGCTTCTCCGTCAATTGTGATTGGATTGGTACATGTTGTGTTGTATCGAAGAATCTTGCTTTTCCCTTTGTGTATATTGAGACCTATTGCTGCTGAGGCTGCAGCTACACTGGTTGTCTTCTCCTGCATTTGTTGTTGTGTGTGCGATAGAAGAGCCAGATCATCTGCGAAGTCTAGATCATCCAATTGCATCCTAGCTATCCACTGTATCCCGTGCTTCCCTTCAGATGTTGATGTCTTCATGATCCAGTCGATCACCAGGAGAAAGAGAAAGGGTGAGAGTAAGCAACCTTGCCTGACACCGGTCTTTACTTCGAACGACTTTGTCAACTGTCCTCCATGAACGATCTTGCAGTTTAATCCATCATAGGAATTCTGTATGATATTGACTATCTTCTGAGGCACGCCGTAGTGTCGAAGAAGCTTCCATAGGGTTGTTCTGTCCACGCTATCAAATGCTTTTTCGTAGTCGATGAAGTTGATATAGAGTGATGAATTCCATTCAATTGATTGTTCCACAATGATCCGTAGAGTTGCGATTTGGTCTGTGCACGATCTATCCTTACGGAATCCTGCCTGTTGGTCTCGAAGTTGGGCGTCTACGGAGTCCTTCATCCTGTTTAATAATACCCTGTTGAAGACTTTTCCTGGTATTGAAAGAAGAGTGATTCCCCTGTAGTTGTTACAGTTGCTGAGATCGCCTTTCTTTGGTATTTTGACTAGAAGTCCTTCTTTCCAGTCTTTTGGTACCTGTTCCTTATTCCAAATCTTTCTGAAGAGAATGCGGAGTATCCTTGCAGTTACCGCCACGTCTGCTTTCAGTGCCTCTGCTATAATGTTGTCTGGTCCTGCTGCTTTGCCACACTTGGTTTGTCTGATATCCATGCTGATGTCTTCAATTGTTGGTGGGCCAACATCGATTGGGAGGTCCGTGAGTGCTGCTTCGATGTTGGATGGGTTCAGTGGGGCTGGTCGATTCAAGAGTTCTTAGAAGTGTTCTACCCACCTGTTCCGTTGTTCTTCAATGTTGGTGATTATCTTGCCTTCCTTGCTTTTCACTGGTCGTTCTGGTTTACGGTGATTTCCAGAGAGTTTCTTTGTTGTTTCATACAGTTGTCTCATGTTTCCTTCTCTGGCAGCCTTTTCCGCCGTCATTGCCAAATCTTCCACATATTTACGTTTGTCGGTTCTGATGCTCCTTTTCACTTGCTTGTTTACTTCTGTGTATTCAGCTTGTGCCTTGACTTTTTCTGCTCTTGTTCGACTGGTATTGATTGCTACTTTCTTGTTCCTCCTTTCACGAATCTTATCCAGTGTATCGACCGTGATCCAATCCTTGTGATGGTGCTTCTTTTGGCCCAGAACCTCATGACATGTTGAAGTGATTGCCTCTTTTATCTCTTTCCAGTTGCTCTCCATAGTAGTTCCTTCTCCATTGAGTAGATCATGAAAGGCTTGGAACTTATTGCTGAGGGTTATCTTGAATTTATTGAGTTTGTCATTATCCCGAAGAAGAGCCGTATTAAATTTTTGTGATATTGTCCTCCCCGTTGTCCAGTGCCTCTTGAGTTTCAATTTCATCTTGGCGACCAGCAAGTGATGATCTGATGCTATATCAGCTCCTCTCTTTGTTTTCACGTCCTCCATCGTCCTCCTGAACTTTTTGTTGATGCAGATATGGTCGATTTGGTTCTGTGTGCTGTGATCCGGTGAAGTCCATGTGGTTTTTGTGTATGCGTTTATGTGGGAATATAGTCCCGCCTATGACCAGTTTATTGAAGGCACATAGATTTGCAAATCTCTCACCATTTTCGTTCCTTTCTCCCAGTCCGTGTCGTCCCATGATCTCTTCATATCCGGTGTTGTCAATTCCAACCTTGGCATTTAGGTCTCCCATTAGAATAGTCAGGTCTTTTGTTGGGCACTTCTCGACGATTGACTGCAGCCTATCGTAGAATTGATCTTTAGCGTCTTCATTGTAGTCATTGGTAGGCGCGTAGCATTGGATGACGTTCATTGTAATCCCCGTTTTCTCTGTTTTGAAGGAGGCTTTGATGATCCTTGGTCCATGAGATTCCCATCCTATAAGTGCATTTTGTGCTTGTTTGGACAGCATCAATGCAACTCCTTGTGTATGTGGGGCATTTTCTTCTTCATGTCCGGAGTATAACAGCAGCTCCCCTGAAGCTAGTCGTTGTTGTCCAACTTGCGTCCAATGTGTTTCACTGATCCCAAGCACCTCTAAATTGTATCTCCTCATTTCTGCAGCAATTTGGAAAACTCTCCCAGTCTCCCACATTGTGCGAGCATTCCATGTACCTAAATAAATGGTTGCTCTGGTTGTCAGAAGGGGCATCGGCCTCGTGACTTCCGAAGAAACTCGGCTTTCATCATGAGGCGTCATAATTCTTCTAAACGAAGATCTCCTGACTCCCAGGGCAGAGTTTAAATGGTTTGAATAATTTTTTCTGGTTAGCGTTTTTTTAGCGAGTTAGTTTTCTACGGGATGGGGTCGCTAACCCCATGTCCAACCCTCCTCCTTTATCCGGGCTTGGGACCGGCAGTAGCCCCCGGAAAGGGACTCCAGGCGGAGTTTCATCTCCTTGGGTAAAAATATATTTCCCTACTATTCAATATAAAACATTGATTCAAGACTGATCCACATAAACCCTTGAAATGAGGTAGTTAAACTTACTGATTATGTCACTTATCTTGCAATGTCGGCTTATTTATGGAAAGCTCATGTAGGCTTTGTTTACTTGAGTCAATTATAACACAGAAGAGAAGGTTATTTACTAACAAAAAGGTAAGTATACTTCTCAGCAATTCATTTTATTTTTCTTTAACTCTATGAAACATGAACTGTAAAAGTAGAGGATTTTTACAAACTATTAGTATTTCCCCATATATATGTATATAATACGTCAGTTATCATAATATTTTTACACTCTTACTCAAAAGTCATTTATGATCAGTCATTGATCTAAACGTTATTTATTTGGTGAATTACATCAATGAGATATCCAGTACAATGAATCCTATTCACATGATAATCACTTTGTATTATAGTGTATTCATTCTATAGTTTTTTTTTTTGTTTTTTTTTTTGATTTCCTTGTACATTGTATTTATCTGAGTAACTTTGATGAGTTCATGCCAGATAGTAATTGGATTATAACTTATCAACTATAGTATAAATTTTTTTAAAATTTTCTTTTAGATAATGATGAATTATTAACAGGTATTGGTCATATACAAATGTTAATAAATGGAAATCTTACAATGTTACGTAAATTATGTAAAGTTTACTTAGAAACTAATTTACAAATAAAAAAACAACAATCAATTAATTACATTCCATTAAAAAGTGATTTAGAAGGTTATTGGAATTTGATATTATTACAATATAAACGTTTTAAATCACAATTTCCATTATTAGTTAATTGGATTTCAAATGATTTTCGTAATGAATTACAATTACTTATTAATGAATCACTTGGTGATCTATCTAGTTGTTCATCTGAGTTCATTAGTTCTTCATATATGAATAATGAATGTAAGAAAAACTCTACTAAACAAACAAATATAACTTCATACAAAAAGGTAGGTTATTTATAATGTACGCGTATTTTGCTTGGAAATAAATGATGATGATGATGATGATAATGATGATGATGATGATGATGATGATGATGATGATGATGATGATGATGATGATGATGATGATGATGATGATGATGATGATGATGATAGTATTCAATATCTAGTTGGAATAATCGTTTCAGAAATATAAATAAGACCTCTATCGATAAATATACCTTCTTGGTGAAAAATCTTGAACACTTTAATTGGTTATATTAATACAAAAAAGAATGATAAATCAACTTACCGCTCATGAAAGGTCTTTCTCACTTATCAAATGAATATGGACTGAAGTGCCTTAATCTATTTGCGCTAGTTTACACTACATTAAGAGGTGATCTAACATTAGCTTGTCGTATCCTAAACAATGATTCTGATATTGTTATTTCTTATCTTCTTCTTCTATATAGGAAAAGTAATTTAAAATGACACTATCAAGAAGTTTAAAAATCAAGATTAAATCGTCTTCATTTGAGGATCATTTCCGACATCATGTTGTGATTTACTTGAATTCTTTTTATAGAACACGTGAATAACATCGTTTGCTGATAGGTTCAAAGAGTGATTATATCTCTATAATACAAATCATGTAAATAAACATAAGTTTCTCAACTTTTTATCCTTTTCACTAGGGAATGATGATCGAAAACAATGTAGAATGTACCGCTATAGGCTATCAATTCTTTCTATGAAATGTGAGAACAATATCATAAAAATTATAGATCATTTATAAAATAGAGTTGTAAAAACTAATTTTATATCTGATCACAGAACTAGAAAATGTTTTCTAAGCAAAACAAATAAGAAGTAAAAATTAAAAGTAAAAGAAAAACTAGTTTATATGGTGGTTGGAGGTAGTCGACAGGAAACCCGGGTCCAGGGTTTCCTGCCCGCAGTGTCGAGTCACCTAGACTGGTGGCCACATTGCAACATGATCGATAGCATTCGATCTGCACTAATAATAAGGACTAGATACGCATGACATTGGTCACCACCCAGTGATCAATCAATTGTAAAAACTAGTTTTTCAAAAAAGCACATCATTTATTGTATACATGTCAATATAGCTGATTTAATGCCAAATAGTTATTGAAGGTACGTAAATAATTCTGTTATTGATTGTGTCAATTTACACAAAAATAACTAAGTGATAAAGTAAAAAAAGGTGAAGGAAAAAATAAATAGACAATACCCTGAATGTTGATTCTATCCCTGTAAAACATGTTAAGGTTAAGATTCTGAGAAAAGTATCCAGTTTTGATATTGTTAACTAAGATTATAAGGAGAGGCATGGAATACAATGGACGGATTGCATGCAACTAGATTATTTGAACTTCACAGGTTACCTAGTTCTATCCCATACAGTAGTCTCTGCATCAGTAGGCCTTCACATACAGTAAGGAAAAACCAAGATCCTCTAATACAACACGGAGAACATCAATCAAACCAATCACACTTGATAAAAAATCTCTGAAAGATGTGGGATCTTTCACGTGTCTGGCAATCATCATCAATGAACAAGAGGAATCCGATGCAGACTTGAATGCGAGGATTAGCAAAGCAAGGACAGTATTCCTACAATTGAAGAACATATGGAACTGAAAACAACTGTCTGTCAACCAACATCGAAGTCGCAATCTTCAATACGAACGTCAAGATAGTTCTATTGTACGAAGCTGAAACTTGTAGAACTACTACATCCATCATCAAAAATGTCTACTCAAGATACTCAATGTCTGTTGACCGGAAACCATCAGCAACAGCCTTCTGTGGGAAAGAACAAACCAACTTCCAGCTGAGGAGGAAATTAAGAAAAGACGATGGAAGTTGATAGGACATACATTACGAAAATCACCAAACTGCATCACAAGGCAAGCGCTAACTTGGACTTGTGAAAGGAAGCGGAAAAGAGGAAGACCAATGAACATATTGCATCGGGAATGGGAAGGAAATATGAAAAGGATGAATAACAACTGGAAACAACTGAAAAGGATTATTCAGCACAAAGTTGAATAGAGAATATTGATGAGTGACTTATATTCCTTGACGAAGGATAATAGACATTCATAAGTAAATAACTAGAATATAAAAGACTAATTAGAAAACTTTTCATCATCAAAAAATTTTTTTGTTTTCTTACTTACGCCTGTTACTCCTAATGAAGCATAGGCCGCCGACCAGCATTCTCCAACACACTCTGTCTTCCGCCTTCTTTCCTAGTTCCATCCAATTCTTGTTCATTCTTCTCATGCCTGTATCCATTTCTTGGCGTAATGTGTTCTTTGGTCTACCTCTCCTCCTTCGACCTTGAGGATTCCATGTGATGGCTTGTCTTGTGACGCAGTTCGGTGCTTTCCTCAATGTGTATCCTATCCACTTCCAGCGCTTCTTCCTGATTTCTTCCTCCACTGGGATTTGATTTGTTCTCTCCCACAGTAGCAGTTGTTGCTAATAGTGTCCGACCAACGGATCCGAAGTATTTTGCGTAAACAACTGTTAATAGACACCTGTATCTTCTGAATGATGGATTTCGTGGTTTTCCAGGTTTCGGCCCCATACAGTAGAACTGTCTTGACATTTGTATTGAAAATTCAGACTTTGATGTTGGTTGACAGACAGTTGTTTTGAGTTGCAGATGTTCTTCAGTTGTAAATATGCTGCTCTTGCTTTGCCGATCCATACCTTCATATCTGTATGAGATCCACCATGTTTATCAATGATACTGCCCAAATATGTAAAGGTTTGTACATCTTCCAAATCTTTTGTTTTCTATTTTCTCTCATAATTACCATTATTTATTTAATAATATAATCAATATTGATTATTCTTTTGTTTTATTATATTTTATTGAATGAAAGAAATTATCTAAAATCAATAAAAATCATGATAAATCAATTCAATTACATAAAACAATTCAACAACGAATTCATAATGCTCGTAAACAATTATTAGAAAAACAAAAAAATATTTATGAAAAAAATGATATGACTACTAATGAAAATAATACTGGTGATAATTCAACATGCAAAAATACATATTTTTATACAATTGAATATTAATAAATATATGATTATAGTATGAATCTTATCATATCTAGATCTATCTATCTATCTATCTAATCTATCTATCTATGTATGTATGTATATGTATACATCAATAGGCTTCTAAAGTATAAATTCTTTAGTTGTCAACATAAACCAAATACATATTCTTCATAAGTTTGTTTGTTTTTCTTTAGGAATTATTGCATGTACAGTACATATACAATGCATATATTTGTAAATAGTTCTGCTCAAAACATTTAGTTCAGAATATATATATATATATATATATATATATATATATATATATATATATATATATATAAATGACGTAATATAGATGAGAAATGGTTTGTTTCCATGCATAACTTGTCCATCGTATACATAAACAATATTGTACAATATTCCATTTTGATCCTTTTTTTCTTGTCTAATGTCTATAGTAATAGTAGTAGCAGTAGTAGTAGTAGTAGTAGTAGTGGTGGTGGTGATAATATTAATACTAATAGTACTGTTCTCAATCCAAATATCCGAGATGATGATGTAAAAATTAATCTTCTCATTGATTTCAATATTTATTTATTTTTGTTTTTGTTCCTTTTTTTTGAAAATTAAATGAACCTTCTAAATTTATCATCATTATTTAGGATAAGTTAAAAGAATATTCTACAATAGAAATGAAGATTTATCATGTTGTTAATGTATTTTTCTCTTTTTTTTTCTTTTTTTTTTTAAACAACAATTATTTTTATCACGATTCTTTTTTCTTGTGTTATTGATTTTGATTTACCAATATATATATATATTTTTTTTTATTTATATTTATAATAAATAGAATTATTTCTATTCATGTGAATAGGTTATGTCAATGGATTGATCATAGATTAATGAACAATTTGACTTTTGTTTAATGCTTTAACACTGATTACATTGTATCTATGATGTAGAAGTATGGTTATTAATCTGTGTAGAAATCATGTGCACCATGTTACAATTTTAGATGATTGAAAAGAGATCTACAGGAAGTTCTGGATCTAGGTTTCTTGTTATTTGGGACTCGTCAGCAAGGGATACCTCTCTGTAACGACTTGCATTGTTTGTTGGTAACTATTCAGACTACTGAAGTTGAGTAGTATGGATCTATAGTCCACAAGAAGCATCATTTCGCTAAAGGTTAGAGATATTTTTTGCTAATGTATGTTAGATATCACGAAACGTGGGCCTAGAATTAGATGGATATAACACTGGTGACCATTCATTAGTTCATCAGAAGAAATATATTTTAGTGACCCGTGGATCTGACGCCCAGTTGGACGAACTAATGGATATGATATGAACATAAATCTTTTGTATATTAAATCTAGGCTAACCCCGATTGCAGTAATAACGACCCAATTATGGATCAAGTTGGATGAATTTATTTCATGTACTGGTTTAATCAGACAGATATTAAAAACGAAAAGCAGGAAGGAGAAGCAGAAAGATAAGCGTGCCAACTCCGCTTGATGTAGAGTGTGATCAATGAGGTAATCAATACACACACATACTCTCAAATAAAAATATTAAAGGTTATAAGCGAATAATCAATAGGGTCAAACGAAAATAAATTAATCGGTATGTCCGAAAGCTAGTACAACCCATGTGGGCGGCATACAGTAACAAAAATTAAAATATAGAACCTACAAGCCTGTTTAGCTAAAATGGTTCTGCTGTAATGTCCCTAACACTGGTATTGTGTTGGGTTGGTTCACATTGCACGAAGAATACCATTCTCCCCTTAAATGTGGATACTCTTTGGTATCGATTACTTACCAGAGGAAAACGGTGTTTAAACTGAGCTCACTGTTGTTTTAGTTCAACCACCTAACAACACTTGTAAAGGTGTGTAATATCTGTAAGGACACTGAAGTATTAAGTTCTCAACTCACAACAACATCAGTAAGAAATACTGTAGACATCTTAGATATATTTAAAATCATGAGTAACATGCAGTGTGATCGAAGTGATGTATATGAAGAAAGAACTCTTGCATTTGTTAAGCTAAAAGATAAATGAAGTGAAAATACAAATATTTATTGCAAAAAAACTATCTATTAAGGCTTATTTAATCAGTATAACCTATTGATAAAGTTATGGATAGCTTTATTGATGCTATTTTATGAAATACTTGATGTTTAAATGCAGTGAACTGTAATCTTCCAGTAAGAAAGGGATTAAATGGAAATGGGAATAGCCAGAAGAAGTATGTGGTCAGTCAGTCAGTAACAACGTAGAACTTCGTACGTACGTATATCACTTCGAGTTGCCATACCACATTAGGACACAGATACAATTGTCGATTCAAATCACATAGTGGTAGAGGTAGTAAAAGTATAAGCAGTAATCCGATAGATTAGAGTTATAAGAAGTATAAGGGGTAAGGAATGTCACTTGTTTGTTTCGATGGGTGTCCGATACTGTTATTAACTTGGATAAATGATTGATGTTCGAATATGTTGAACAGTCATCAGCTAATAGATTTTTAAGTATGAAGGGTAATGTTACTTTATAAACTGAATGGGTTCTAGATCAAGTGGTCTAACTACAACACTTTCACTTGAAAATACGATAGTCTTGAGTTCTATCCTATGTAAGATTATTGGTAGATACTATTGATTTGCCAAAACTATAACTAATATTTGATTCATACTAAATAAATCTATTTAAGTAATACTATAATCATCACTTTTACAGTACACATTATAGTTCAAGTACTGTACTGTTCAAATGTTCCAACAAAATCGATAATTACAAATAATGGTCATATTCTAGTCATTAAATGAATGAGTATTATTATTGTCATCAGTTTATTGTATACAACTATGTTTGTTTGATCTTTTTTCTTTCTGTATTGTTTTTCATAAAGAATAGGTTTACTACGAATTAGATTGTTTAACATTGTTGACGATTCTATATAGAAATGACTACATAAATACATACATATACATTGTATAGTAATGATTTATTATGTAAAGGATAAACAATGAAAATTAGTTATTTTCTCTGTTAAGTTGTCATTATTGAATTTCATTATGAATTCATACTTTATGATGTTATATTGTTGAACATTGTCAATTTTGTATTTCACTTTAATGAGATTGCCGCTTAGTTTGTTTTGATTTATTGTAGACAATTCTCCCGTTCTCTCTCTCTCTCCCTCACTCTCCCTCTCTAAAACAAAGTTTATTGGTTGTTAAGAGAATATATAATTTAGATTGTATGTTTAAACAATTTATGAAGTTTGATTTTAGTAAAGGATTGATATAAACTAGAGTGATTAAAATTCATAGAGTACTAAATGGTTGTCATGTCCTTGTATGCTATTTCTTAGTTGTATGTATTCGTGACCTCACTAGAGGACAATATCCATCTTTTGATTGAGATCATGAATCGACTGATGTTAGACCACCGTTGGAAACCTGAAAGCACTGGACGGCCGTTTCATCCTAGTATGGGACTCCTTAGCAGTGTGCATCCACGATCCCCTCACCGCGGGATTCGAACCCAAGGCCTTCAGTCTCACGCGCGAACGCTTAACCTACTGGACCACTGAGCCGACATCCTATGGTGTTAGTGTCTAACATCAACCAATCCACGAAATTGCGCGACCATCTTCCATTGTATCGAGGTAGATACCTGTCTCTACCCGACACGGATTAGGTCCACTGGTCACGGCTTCTCACTAGAACTCCGAGAATTCCCTCACGAAGCTAGTCACTAGTGAACACATGTTCGAATCCCGCGAGCGGGATCGTGGATGCGCACTGCTGAGGAGTCCCATACTAGGACTGAACGGCCGTCTAGTGCTTCCAGGTTTTTAACGGTCGTCTAACATCAGTCAATTCATGATCTCAATCAAAAACTTAATAATCTCCACAACCCCAATAATGATAATATCTATCTTTGCTTGAAATACATGCGAATTAAGGTAATATCGATGTAAAACACACAGTATACATATATGCCAATAAGATATTGATCAATTGTAATCCTAAACATCAATGGGAAGATTCAAGTAAATAATAATACCTGGTGAATTTAACATTACACTTTTCTCAAGAACATGATCTTAATGTCAAAGTTTCAGTAAAATAGTATTTAGAGTACGATCTATTTTTTTGTTGAAAATACTCGATTGTGATCTATTCAGTGTGTATTTCAAATGAAACATCATCAAAACGTATTTGATGTTTGTAAAAATAGATTAAGTATAACAATTAAAACCATTTAATGAGTTTATATTTGAGATATAGACTATTATGAAAAGTTATCAAACATAGACGAATCGTATGTTAATGGTTAATATCACTCAGATCAGTACGAACTGATCACTTACTTACTTACTTACTGCCAATGGAGCATAGGCCACCGACAAGCATTCTCCAACCCACTCTTCCCTCGACCTTCCTTTCTAGTTCTATCCATTTCTTGTTCATTCTTCTCATGTCTGTATCCGTTTCTCGGTGTAATGTGTTCTTTGGTCTTTCTATTCTCCTTTGGTCTTGAGGATTCCATGTGAGGGCTTGCATTGTGACGCAGTTGGATACTTTCCTCTATGTGTGTCTTATTCACTTCCAGTACTTCTTCCTGGTTTCTTCCTCCGCTGGGATCTGGTTTTTTCTGTCCCACAGTAGGTTGTCGTTGATAGTGTTTGGCCAACTGATCTGAAGTATTTTGCGTAGACAACTATTAATAAACACTTGTATCTTCTAGATGATGGGTTTCGTAGTTCTGAAGACTAATACTTAGTATTTCATTATGTAGTGAAAGAGAACACAAGTGACGACAATCGAACATAATAGAATATAAAATTACAGAGCATTTTAGTAAAATCTCAGAACTATACAATAAAATACTTCATTAGCAAAATGTCAATCAATTGTCTTAGACTTCACTATTCCTTCATTTCTACACCAATAATTCTTTGTTCTCTTTACTTTGATCTTTTTAACCTTCTACTGTCAGATATTTCACTTTCGACTCATGATATATACTATTTATATCTATTGACATCAGTAGTAAACACCATGATTCTATTTATTTTCATGTTTCAAGTTTCTTAAATCTGAACTATATGGCATACGGTAGCGCAACTTCGTGGATTGGTTGAAATTAGACATTAACACCGTTGGATGCCGGCTCAATGGTCTAGTGGTTAAGCGCTCGTGCGCGAGACTGATAGGTCCTGGGTTCGAATCTCGCAGGGGGGTTGAATCGTGGATGCGCATTGCTGAGGAGTCCCACGGTGAGACAAA